CGACGCGATAACTTGCTTGTCTAGGGAAGCGTTTGAGAGCTATGACGAGGTTAAGGAAGTGCTCTTGAGACGTTATAAGTTGTCACCTGAGGCTTTCAGGCAAAGGTTCCGGTATGCTAAAAAGGGGAATGAGTCACACGTTGACTTCGCGTTTCGTCTTAAAGCCGATTTGATTGAATGGCTCAAGGGCGAAGGTGTTTATGACGACCGCGATAAAGTGGTGGAATGCGTTGCATTGGAGCAATTCTACCGCTGCATCGAGGAGGATGTCAAACTTTGGCTGCAGGACAGACTTGGGGACGTACAGTTAAACAAGGCAGCAGAGTTAGCTGAGGAGTATTATACTCGCCGAAAGTTGCATAGCAGGGCAGTGCGCGTTGAAAAGGATGAAAGGAAAGAGGGCTTTTCAAGGAAACCTGATCAACGGACACCCGCTCCGCACCGTAATTTCAAGAAGGACCCGTCTCTTACGAAGGACAGTGTAGGGGAAGGGCAAACAGAAGCGGAGAAATCGAGTGAGGTTTCTACCACACAGGCATTAGAACCGGAAAACAAACGGAAGCCGCTAATCTGCTACAACTGTAAAAAGGAAGGGCACATCGCGAGAAACTGTCAGGAAAAGTTTGCCTTCGCGACGATCCGAGAATCAGAAAAAAACATGCGGTTGTTGGAGCCGTATCTCCAAGAAATTAGGGTCAATGAGAAAACGTGCCGAGCACTTAGAGACTCAGCGGCAACCATGGACGTTGTCCATCCTTCATTGGTGTCTCCGGATGACTTCACAGGAGAATGCGCGTGGATCAGGCAAGTCGTCGAGGAGCAGAGTGTTCGCTTACCAATCGCCACCGTTGTCATTGAAGGCCCGTTCGGTAAGCTTTGCACCGAAGCGGCTGTGTCTGCCGCGCTGAATGGTCGTTTTTCTTATCTTTTCTCCAACAACTCGGAGCAGCTTCTCAAAGAGCAGGGCAAATCGTTCTTCCCCAACTTAGCGTGCATGGCTCTCACGCGATCGCAAGCGCGAAAGCTTTCGCGGAAGCTTGACTTGGTTCCATGCGGTGAACTCTCAAGTGACCTTGTCGGCGGGTCGACGGAACCCCAGAAAGGAAATTTTCCGCATGAGTCATGTGAGCAGTCACGCGAGCGGCCCATCGCGGGAGCGGCCGGCGCGGTATGCGCTGGGGGAGACGACGTGGCGCCATTGAGTCAGAGCGAGAGGGTTGCAACGCTCTCGCCTGTAGCGGAAAGTTGGAGCGAGCTGCCGAGAGTTGATCGAGAGACGCTCATTCGGGGGCAGAGTGAGGATCTCTCGATTGAAGCGCTCGTGGAAAGCCAGAAAAACGCGGCAAAAGTGCTGTCGAAGGAGCACTACGAGAAATCGGGAAAGAAGCGCGCTTTTGAAGTTGATAATCAGGTAATGCGGCTGCAGCCACCCAAAAGGAACAAGCTTGAGGTTGATTGGGAAGGGCCCGCCAAAGTATTATCGAAGCCTTGCGATACAAATTATGAGGTGCAAGTAGGAAGGCGGCAGCACAAAATTTACAACTTGATGAAACCCAATGTTCAACATCAAGCGGTCGTAAATCAGCTGTTGAAGGCTTCAGTGGAAGAGGAAGCAGAAAATTTGAGTTCTAGTGAGGTGATCGAAGGGAGATCGAAAGTAATTTGGGAGCAGATAAACCTAGAGCCTAGCTTAAGTGAAGGAGGACCTGAGAAAGAGGACCTGAGAAAGATTGGTTCCGAGTTTGAAGACGTGTTTTCGGACTGCCCCGGAAACATGAGGGTGATCGAACACGATATCGAGCTAAGCGGTGAGGAGTCAATCAGTAGCAAGCCGTATCGTTGTTCCCCTGTGCAACGTCGCAAGTGTGAGCCGCTCTTGGTGCCGCATAGGTATCGTCGCCTAAAAGTGGCCGGTTACTGAAGTGGAGCATGTTGCTCCACAGCGCAACTTTGACGTTCGCTAAAGAAAAAAAAAAAAGGGAAAGGTAAACGTTAATGCAGGTGCATTGAGCAGTGCGTTTAGTTAGTACCTTCTCAACCTTTCGGTTTCTCGCTGGCGATTCGGGGCAAAATTTTGACCTCATCACGACCTGGGCTGAGCGCTCTCGTTCTGAGTGATCTCAAGGGGCCAACTTTGTGGTATTCTAATTCGTTACGTTGTTGTACGTGGAAACAAAAAAAAATTGAGTTGTCATTTTAGGGGTCTTTTGTCCCACATGTGCCTCTTGATGTAGAGGGAACAAAATTCCGATAGACACGTAGATAGGTATATGTTGTACTATACTTTGTCTGGTGTTCTGTCGGGTGACCGAGGGCACTTGCTTGTGTCGTGTGTTGTCTGTTGTCGAACCGTTCTTAGCAAGTTGAAGAACCATCGACAAGTGCTGAAACCGAAAATGGTCAGAAGAGACGAGCGAAGTGGGCCAGCAAGTTGTGGCGACAAGCCAGTGGAGCGGGGATCCGTCGTCAATGATGGGATGTATTCCCGGAACAGTCTGGAGCTGTATTCTCCCCATGGCCCTGGAGGCGAACCTGGAGGGACCTGGCGAACGAGCGCACCTGACATCCGAGCCCCGTGGAAGCAGCTCGTCTTTCCGGTGCATTGTCTGGCGGCGGGGGTGCTGTTATGCCAGCGAGTCCTCGTCAAACGTCCGTGCCTCTGAAACAGGCAATCTGGGTCAAGGCCAGCCCGCAGCCCGCCGGGCGCGAACAACTCCACGGCGTGAACACGCGCGGCGCATCTGTGGCCCACGTGCATTGAGTCAGCGTCGCACGTGACAGCGAGCCGGCGTCCTCATGTCTGGTGGCCTGACGCATCGCGCGGCGAACCCCATTGGAGGAGCCTGCTCTGAAGACCAGCGGCGCTTCTGATTGGACATTTTAGTTGGGCCCGGTGTAAATAAAAGAAGCCCTGCGGCGTGTCGCGATCAGCGGTTTTAGGCGAAAGGCTGACCTATGTATTAGAGAGAGGAGCTCGGCTCTTCGAGTCTCTGCCGGCCCCAGTGCCGAAATTGTAACGCCTCTGTATATATATGCTGTACATAAACCTTGTTTAACTCACCGTCGTCTCGTCCGCTCGTCTCCTCAGCTCTGCGCAGAAGCAGTCGCGAGCTGAGAAACATACGCTACCAAACGGCTGGTGACCTTCCCGGCGGGGTCGAAAGCAGTGGCGCCTCCGGGACCGCGTCGGCGTCGCCGTCTTTCGCAACAGTGGTGGCTTCGGCGGGATCGGTCCGGCCTTCGCAACAGTGGAGGTCAGCGGCGGGATTGCGGAGGTGGCTTCGCAACAGTATGAATTTCTTGGACCATCGTGGGGCAGTCATCGATTAGCTATCTAAGTCGACAAAGATATCCGCAAAAAAGCGCTACCACTGCACACGCTGTCAGGAAATCACGCCTTGAATGTGCTAGAAGACCAAGTCACCATTCCCCCTGGCTCCACCATCAGCATTTCTGTTAGCACTCCCAAATCAGTACACTTCGAAGCCGTCGATGAAGGCCATCAGCATCTCTTGGTCAACTACAATATTTGCGTCTCAAGAGAAATCGCCGTATTGCGTGGGGGGAGAGCAACAGTGGTGCTCAAGAATTTCAACAAGGAGTGCAAGCCCGCAAGCAAGCAAACGATGGTCGCTTACGTCAAGGAAATTGTGGAAACCACCAATGCTTAAATCGTCAATGATCCTACTCCAACATACCAAGCTCCTCAACCAACTTTCAACGTCAACCTGAGCCTTCCAAAGTGCAAGCGATACGAAATCAAAATCCTGCTTCAAGGACTGCTTTTCGTCGTGACCTAGAATTCGCCAGACGCCAGCCGCCAAACATCATATTATAACAGAGTAAATGCTAGACCACTTAGTCAGAGCCCGTACGGACTTTCAAAGTGAGAGCGCGAGGCTGTAAAAATACAAGTCGACAAAATGCTACGCGACGATGGTATTTAGCCATACAAGAGTCCGTGGGCATTTCCAGTGGTGTTAGTGAAGAAGAATGAAACACTGCACTTCTGCATCGACTCTCGCCGGCTCAACAAGATCACAAAGAAGGACGTGTACGCCCTCCTACGCAGAGGCGACGTCCTGGATAGAATCAACTGTACGTAGTGCTTTTCATCTATGGACATCAAGACAGTTTCAGTTTTATTGAACTAGTAGAAATAATGAAATCGATGAGGCAGACTGAGCAAAGACTGCTTTCATAACACCAGATGGCCTAGGCCGCTTGAGTTCAAGGTCATGGCTCGATATTGGCCTATGGTCAGCCCCACATTAATTTAACTCATTATGAATCAGCACTGGTTGGCATGAAGCATACTTACCCTATGTACTTGGATGAAGTAGTTGTGTTTCTTCCAATATCTATGAACTCCTCCGGAGCCATGAAGCTGTCCTCAAAGCAATTAAGATCTCTGGACTCACCCTGAAACCAAATAAGTGCCACTTTGCATACTAGGGACTCTTGTTTTTACACCATGTGGTAAGCAAGCCCGGAGTAAACTCTGATCCACAGAAGACAGCCGCCTTCGTCCCATTCCTACCACTCACCGACAAGAATGCCGTACATCGATTTCTTGGCATGTGCGCCTGTTACAGGCGTTTTGTAAGAAACTTCTCCCATATTGTCAAACCACTTACTAAGCTTACCAGGACCGATGTCGAGTTCACTTAGTAAACACCGTAAGAGGAAGCATTTCAAAATATAAAACAACGCCTGCAGACGCTCCCGTTACGTGTGCATTTGGACGAATACGCTGAAACAAAACTACACACCGGCACAAGCAGCGTAGGACCTGACGCTGTACTTGTACAGAGGACTGACGGACTAAAGAGGGTCGTAAGTGTTGTAGCCGGCGAGCAAGGCGACGCTGGACTCAGTTGGTGGCGAAGGTTTAATGTGATAAGCAAGCGGCTCGCATGCCAATATAAGTACAGGCACATGACGTAGCCTGTGACGTCAGTACGGCGCGTCATACGTTGGCTACTACATCTCTTCCCCCTTTATTTAGCAGCATAGCCAAAACGTTCGGGAGGCTTTCGAATTCTTGTGCTTCGTCGCAGTTCAGGTGGCGCGACGTTTTCTTGGGAGCTGGCGTCAGGCGCCTGCTGTGATGGCAGTTCCGTCACGCTGGCTCGGTCAGGTGGCAGAAGTCGTTGCTCTGGTGCAGGCCCGTCCGGCGGCGATGCGGTGTCGCTGTCGCTTTGTGACGGAGTGGAACCCGGCTGTGCCATGCGGGTTTGCTCAGGAATCCACACGCTTCTGGGAAGAGGAGCAAGGCATGTGTTAGGAACAATATCGTCCGCATGCAGAAAGCGCTCGTGGTCTTCGATTCGGACTATGTATGTTCCTTTGTTAACTCGTCGCAAAACTGTTCCTTCCAACCAACGTGGATCACTCGGTCGGTTTCCTCGCACACGAACGTTGTCGCCAACCTCGAACTCCCTCCATGAAGTATGGGTTTCCTGACCCTGTCTTCGAGCTATATTTGCTTCGGCACGTTTCGCTAGCTCCGGATGCAAGATGCTCAGCCTCGTGTGTGGCTTCCATGAGAGAAACAGTTCGGCTGGCGTCTTACCGGTCGTCGAACATGGTGTGTTTCGGTAGGTGAACAGGAACTGGTCTACCCGATGTTGCATCGTCCGAGTCACTCCCGTGTTCTGCTCGTCCCGTAGCTGTTTGATGAAGCTTCGCTTGACGGTCTGGACAAGCCTCTCCGCCGCGCCATTTGAAGCTGGGTGGTAAGGTGGTGTCTTGGTGTGCTGCACTGCATTGGAGTTGAGAAAATTTGTGAATTCAGCAGACACAAAATGCGGCCCATTGTCAGTCACAATTCTCTCGGGAAGCCAAAATGCAGCAAAAACAGTGCGGAGTTTTTCAACTGTTGCCTGTGCTGTAGTGGACTTCATGTGCAGAACATCCACCCACTTGGAGTGCGCATCGACAAGCACTAAAAACCAGTCGTTCTTGAAGTAGGCAAAATCCAGGTGAACTCTCTGCCACCTGCGGGTTGGCCATCCCCACGATAACATCGGCACGTGGGGCGCAGAGTTCTGCGTTAGTTGGCAAGTTGAACAACCTCTTACAGTTTCTTCAATGCGGTCGCACAACTTTGGCCACCACACATGGCTTCTTGATAGCATTTTCATGCGAGTGATGCCTGGATGCCCTTCATGCAAAAGCGATAAGACTTCAGATTGTACCGCTTCAGGTATAACAACCCGAGTTCCCCATGTTATGCAACCACAGTCTACCGACAGTTCGTCTTTCCGCGAGAAGAATGGGGCTACGTTGTCTTCTGACACGTACGATGGCCATCCATTCAAAACATACATCAGCACCTTAGACAAAACTGGGTCTTTTTGGGTTTCGTCACTGATCCCTTTCGCAGATAGTGGTACGGCTTCTACAGCTGAAAAAAAGTGAACGTAGTCGCTTTCGTCGGTGTCGTTCGGAAGCGGTAATCACGATAACGCGTCCGCGTTTGCTACTTGGGCTCCCTTTCTGTACACCTATTTGTAGCGATATGCCGCTAGCACTAGCATCCAGCGCTGCATGCGTGCTGCTGCCATTTGCTGAATTGGCTTTGTTTGACCCAGCAGTCCCTCCAGGGGAAGGTGATCGGAATAAATGGTGAATTCACGGCCGTAAAGATACTCGTGAAACCGTTTGATTCCGAAAAGCACCGCCAACGCTTCCTTTTTTATGTGTGCGTAGCCACTTTCGGCCTTGCTCAAAGTGCGTGACGCATAAGCTATCGGCCTTTCTTCCCCGTTCACGACATGAAACAACACTGCGCCAACCCCGTAAAGAGAGGCATCGCAGACTAATCCAAGAGGCTTCTTTGGGTCATAGAATGTTAGCACGCTCGCTTGCGTAAGGAGGCTCTTACTCTCCGCGAAGGCTTTTTCTTCTTTTGCGGACCAGACCCACTTCTTATCCTTCTGAAGCAGTGAATACAAAGGCTTTAGCCTCGAAGACATGTTTGGCATGAACTTGGAGTAAAAAGTCATCATGCCGAGGTACGCTTTAAGCTCACTGATGTTCTTAGGTGTGGGTGCTTCCCTTATGGCTTCAACCTTCTCGACGCACGGGTGCACACCATTTTCGTCAATGATATGCCCAAGATATTTGACAGCATTCAAGAAAAACTTGCATTTTTCCTTTCTCACTTTTACACCGTGGTCCCTGAAACCCTGCAGGACTGCTTCCACCCGGGCCAGGCATTCGGTATGCGATGCTCCCGTGATGAGGACATCGTCGAGGTAGTATACCACTCCCGGTAGTCCTTTCAACAGCTCGTTCATGATTGCCTGGAAAACTGCAGGTGCACTTGAGATTCCGTACGGCATTCGAACATACTGGAACAACCCCATGTGAGAGTCTATAGTCAGCAAGGGTCGAAAGTCAGGGTGCACCTCGACTTGCTGAGATGCCGTCGAAAGGTCCAGAAGGGTGAAAACCTTGCCCCCAGCCAGTGTCGTGAACAAATCCTCCACCGCGGGCAGTGGGTAATGGTCGGTCTTCACACATGGATTCACCGTCAATTTATAGTCTCCACACAATCGTACTGTGCCGTCTGGCTTGTGAACAGCTACCAGCGGCGTGGCCCAGTCGCTGCGGGTTACGGGCACCAGTACGCCCTCTTTTTGCAAGTTGCCTAGCTCATGCTCGACAGGTTCACGAATGGCATACGGCACAGACCGCGCCTTGCAAAAGACTGGCATGCTTCCTTCCTTAAGCACAAGTTTTGCTTGGTAACCCTTCATCAACCCTAAACCAGGTGAAAAAACGCTGGCATACCTTGACAGGATGCTGTCGACAGACGGTTGTGCGTGCACCTCGTGAATGCTGTTTAGGTCCATTCCGAGGTTCGCAATCCAGTCGCGGCCTAGGAGTGCTGGCTTCTCTCCTGGTACCACGATGATTGGCAGGACTTTCCGCTGTCCCTTATAATCGACCAAAACCTCCGCTTGGCCTTTCACTTGTAGCGTCGCTCCGCCGTAAGTCTTGAGCTTCATCTCGCACTTCGCAAGCTGCGACAGCTGCTTTAGCTGCCGGTAAACGCATTCCGGAACGAGTGATACGGCTGCGCCCGTATCTACTTGCATCTTCACAAGCTGGCCGGCTATCTGTACTTCAACTTCATATGGTTGTTCCGTGCCCACCAGATACACACCGTGCAGCAGCAGCTCTGTGCCTCCGCTCGCTTCGTCACTCACATTGTGGACGGTGCCAGGCGCCGGTTGCTTGCATCTGCACATGCGCGCCAAATGTCCCACGCGCTTGCAAAGATGGCATTTGAATTTACGATAACGGCAGCAACGGGCGTCATGCTCTTGACCGCATCGATAGCAGCTTTGCATTGAACTGTTCTTCGGCTTGCTGGCAAACTCCGGTTCCTTCCCCGTCTTCTTTAGAGCGTGAATGTCGGCATCCGTATTCGCAGTTGGTCGGAATCCCCTCGACTCCCGCTCCGCTAGCTCAACGCTCTTAGCAAAAACGCAGGCCGATTGGAACGTCAGTTCCTTCCTCTTCAGTAAACCCGTCTGAATGGTGGAATTCCGTAACCCAGCGACGAACCGGTCCCGTAAAGCATCGTCGAGAAACGTACCGTAGTTGCACTTGGCTGCCATGTGCTTCAGCGTGATTGCAAATGCCGCGACGGACTCCCCTTCTCCTTGGTAGCTCCTGTTGAATTTGAAACGCTCCGCAATGACTTGACTTGAAGGCTCGTAGTGGCCACTCAGCACTTTCACTAAGTCCTCGAACGTCTTCTCTTCAGGTTTTGCAGGTAGAAGAAGGTCCTTGAGCGTCTTGTACGCTTTCTTTCCTATGGCAGAGATGAAGGCTGACTTTTTAAGTTCTTCGTCTTGTACGCCGGCTACTTTGCAATAGTGCCCAAACCGTTCTACATACGATGCAAAATCTTCGTCTCCTTCTTCTATGAAGGCGTCAAATTCCCACATCTTCGCCATACCTTGCCTTTCGCCTTCCAGCTGTCGTTGCTCACAGGATCCGCCCCCGTCGTTCGGTGCAGCCTATCCCATCCTCGTTGCCATCTGTTGTAGCCGGTGAGCAAGGCGACGGTGGACTCAGTTGGTGGCGAAGGTTTAATGTGGTAAGCAAGCGGCCCGCATGCCAATATAAGTACAGCCACATGACGTAGCCTGTGACGTCAGTACGGCGCGTCATACGTTGGCTACTATAGTAAGTTATGCCAGGCAGTGGCTACAAATGGCGAAAGCCAACTATTCTACAACAGGAAAAAATGGCAGCATATCCACGGAGTGAATGATGGAGAGTGGGGCGAAGCATCTGTCTGTCCATTCGTTCTTGCTTCCGTCCGTCCATGCGTGCGTCTGTGTGGCTGCCCGTGCGTCCATCCACCCGTCCGTGCATGCGTCTGTTCGTGCGTGCGCACGTCCATCTGTGCGTCCGTCCCTGCGTTCATCCATGCATCCGCTCCTGCGTCCGTCCATGCGTCCATTCGTCCGCGCAGCCATCCATGCGTCCATCCGTCCGCGCAGCCATCCATGTGTCCGTCCATGCATCTGACTGTGTGTCCGTTCGTCCACTTATTCAAGACTCCAAGGACCACCATCTCGCATCTTTTCATCATATATTCCTCATATAGAAGCTCCGCCATCCAGCGGACATTCCAAGGACTGAACGAGAGGAGGCACACGCACACTTTCTTACGGCTTGCGCTTCGTGTCTACTTCCTACATTTAACCACCTCGAGTCCATGGTATATACTAGTTCACTGTATTCACGGCACTGCGGCCCAACGCTCGCTAAACCTTTTTAAAACCAAGGAGGTTACGCCCAGCGAGGTTGACGCAGCAACCCTTTCTTGTCAGATAGTGCTCAATGTACATGCCAATGGCTGCTAAGCGGGAATGAGAGATAGGAGAATTCAGCTTTTAGTTAACGCGCACGCTGCGAATTTTTCATTGTTCAACAACTCACAGAAAAAATCTCCCACTGGCACCACCTCGGAGGTCAAAATGTAAGACTGGTTACACACTACGACTACTAGTACTACTACGAGAGACAAACGGGTGCCGCTTTAAGGAACTTCGCCCCTGAAAGGGTGCCTTGCCATCATCTGGGGTGCTATGCAGGATGGCCCGATCTTCTCGGACAAACGATTTTGCTCCGGGATTGCTCAGCGGCGGCCATGGCATGAAGACAGTGCGGGGTGCTTGATAGCAGCGTTGATAAAAATGGCTACAGGAACGCGCGTGGCGTTGGAAACTCATGTGGGGCATTTGCGACACTTATCAAAGACACACCGCGTGCAAACACTTCAGCGCCATAACTCAGTAAACATTTTAACAGCGCAGCGACGTCTGCATGATTATCGCGCTTATTGCCAACTCAGCAAGTGCCTCCCACAGGCGTGTTCGTAAGCGTATGTCCTCTTTCGGGCAGGTTCTTTCGTTCCACCTGCACCATGGAAACTTTCGTTTTCGACGGCAGCAAGGATGTACACGCATCCTTCCGCGCTGCTCGTTTCGCTTCTATGAAATATTGAGGATAAGTATAAGAGTAGATGTTTACCAGTGACGCTCGCATCATGGCGGCAACGCGGCTGTGATTGGATATGTCGTGAGTGCGGTGAAATTGAATGCGAGACACCGTAGCCACGTGGTGTTGTCACTTTTACTTCTGCGTGTGATAAAGCACATGTATTATTCGTGCCACTGGATGTCAGTACTGCTACTCGGCACGAGCAAACGTGGTGGGTGTACCCAATCTTTGCCGTGGGCGTCTGTCAATCAGTTGATGCACGAACTCAGATACAAACTCTCGTTGGTATTGAGAAGGCCCTTCAACGCGTCACTGTAATGTTGCCGCTGTGACTGTCAAGCGTTTGATGTACTGAACGCTAACCGGGAACTTCCTTGCATATAGGATAGTTTGGTGAGCTTACACTAATTGTACAAGGCTCGAGCCATAAAGGAGTTTGTGATAGCCTACCTTCTTGCAGCTTTTTAAGTTGGTCGTCTACTCATGTGCGTGCTCG